TGTGAGGTTTATAGGACATGGACAGGGTTTTGCTTTTACTTTAAGGAAGGAGCCATTGGAGGGTTCTGAGTAAAGGAATGACATGTCTAGCTTAATTTTTAACATAATCACTCTGGCGGCTATGTTGATATTAAATGAAGTGAAGCAGGAAGACCAATTAGGAGGTTGTTGCGGTCATCCAGTTGAGGTATGATGATGGCTTGGCCCAGAGTGGAGCTGGTGAGAAGTGTCAGATTCTTAACATATTTTAAAGTTAGAGTTAATAGGATTTCTTGATAGACTGGGTATGGAATGTGAAAGAAAAAGAAGACTCAAGCTTATCATCAAGATTTCTGATCTTAGCATCTAGAGCTGTGTTAACCGAGATAGAGAAGGCTGTGCCGAGAGCAGATTATGAGGAGAATATCTAGAGCTCAGTTTTGGACAGGTAAATTTGAGATGGCACTTAATGTGTCTTTAAAAAATATTTTCTGTGCCCTAACCGGTTTGGCTCAGTGGATAGAGTGTTGACCAGTGGACTGAAAGGTCCAGGTTCGATTCCTGTGGAGGCCATTTACCTTGGTTGCAGGTACATCCCTAGTAGAGGTGTACAGGTGGCAGCTGATCAATGTTTCTAACGCTCTATCCCTCTCTCTAACAATTAAATAAAATATATTAAAAAAATTTGCTGAACTAATGAATAGCAGGCATTTTGGCTCTACTTTCCACTATACTAGTTATCCCTGCATCTAGAGCCCTTTTTGTCTCACCTCTGTTTATCTTTGGGTTTGTGGACGGGTAATTGCCTGGCTTGTACTTGCAGTCAGGTGAATCTGGGATCCAGTTATTCCATATACAGACATGAACAATTCTTTTTTTAAACCATGAGCCCACACCCAGCCTCTTTCTGAGAAGTAAGATTTCTCATTATCATGTGGGGAAGATGGACCTGCTTCTCAAAGTGGATCTCCTTTTTGAAGGTAGACTAATTAAGTCAGGAAATAAAGGGGCAGGGTCATGTTTTAGTTGATCCATATTGGTTTAGGTAGATTATTACAGTGGATCAGGAGAACCATGGAATATAATGTTGGAAAGAAATTGGAACAGATGTGGTTGGCCATATAGGAAGGAAAATAACTGGGTGTTTATCCATAGGGGGGACACAAAAGGTTAAACAATAGGAGATTGCTATGATCAGACCCTTTCTTTGGTTCTCTTATTTGAAAGGACTTGAAAATCGATTGAATGCTGGCAAGAAGAGAAAGATCTGATATTACTTTGGGGTTTGAGGCTTTGCTCTGATAAGGATTTATAAGTTCTATGGCCAGACATAGGAGAAGGAGGAGAATATAACTTGGGAAGTAAAACAACAGCAATTTGAGATATATTACATTTAGAGTGAATTTCTGGTGGGAATGTCTAGCAGGAATAGAAAATGTGAAACTAGATCTTTGTAAGAAAGAGCTAACAATAAAGCCCTTACAACAATGATTAAAGAACATTATGTTCTGTGATCATTTCCTCTGGTTTAATAAATTTAAAAACAAACACATTGTGGCTTTTAAATTTCTTTTTCATATTGAGTAAATCCTTGTGCAGTGACATCATTTTTACATTCAGTTCCCAAATGTAAGATAATTACATAATATCTGTTTATATTTTTGTGGGACTGTTATAAAATCTTTTGAGCACATTAGAATCTCAACTCCATATTGAGCAAATAATTTGAAGGAAAAGCTTTTTCCCCCCTCCAGGATAGCATAGTACACATTTTCTCAGATCTGTTGTTATAAATTTTGTCACTTTATTTTCTTATCCTTAACTAGATGCTGTGTATTCTGATAGTTATTGTAAGGTCTATAAGAGCCAACGCCCATTCTCTTCATCTAGGTAACTTACATGAGACTAAAGGAAGACTCAGCAATGTTTTAATGTTTACTTTCAAATTTAACATTTAAAATTATAAGCATTGTAAAAGCTAATAATAAATTTTAAAAAATAGATGTGTATGAAATGAGTTCTTACTTTCTATCTTTAATTTAACTTCCCAGAAGTTAATGTTGAGTAATAGAATATTTTATATTCTCTTCAACAAATTTCTATTTTTAGAGAAAAAACACTAATATCCATTTTTATTTTAGTAATGCAAACTTAACTACACATACTGTCTTGCAACTTTTTAAAGAATTGGCATAAGCATATATTTCTTTATTCATGTTCTGAGAGAAACAAGATAGGCATGGATATTAATACTTTATTATTTCTTTCCTTTGAGAAATTTTCAAAACATTCTTAAAAATATTGTAAGGCCCTGCTGGCATTGCTCAGTGGTTGAGCATTGACCTATGAACCAGGAAAACATAGTTCAAATCCTAGTCAGGGCACATGCCTGGATTGTGGGCTGGATCCCCAGTGTAGGGCATCAGGAGGCAACTCATCAATGACTTTTCTCTCATCATTGATGTTTCTATCTCTCTCTCCCTCTCTGAAATCAATAAAAATATATTTAAAAATATATATTTATCATTTTAAAAAATAAACTAGTAAGAAAACATTGAAGAATCACTACATTGTCCCTTAAGCAATGTTAGTGTATATGAACATTATTTTGGCAAAGCTACTAAAATGTGATTCTGAGATCTTTAGTCACTTTCAAACCTTACATACTGAAACTGTTCCAAGTTACTCTGTGCAGCTCCCCTTCAAATTGGAGGCTATCTGATTGGCCAAAGTCTCTCTTAAAAATCTGTCTTCTTAATTCTTAACTAGTCTCAGGAAATTTCTAAAGGCATCATTCCCAAGAATTTGAGGGAAACAATACTGTGTTTTATCTTTTCAAAGCAGATCAGCGTTAAAAGCTATATTAATGCATTGGCCAGAACTTAGAAGGGGAAGCTTTATAGGCTCCTACAAGACTTGAGGAGATGTTATGTTAAACATCATATGTAATTATTTTTACAATGTCTGTACTGAAAGAATAGAACAGAGGTATGAATACATGGCAAATGAATATGTTTTCCTTTAGAATAATACATTATCAGATTAAGTCAAGCTTGATGTATCGATACATGTAGTCACATGAAGACAGACCATTTTGCCTAAGATAATGAGTGAAACATCAGGTAACATGTGGACAATCATATTGGAAGCTTGGAACTCTGTTGGGATTCTTGCTTTCTGCAAACTACAATACAACTTTTACTGCATAGAGGGTTCTGGCTAGTCTTAGGTAGCAAGAAGTAAAAATGGTGGGTGGTTTTTACATATCACATCATTTTATTTGGAGATTTACTAATGACAATACTGATTGAGCTCAGGATTATTAAAAACCACAATGTAAATTAAATGTTACACTTATAATTATAAATGAAATATTTTAATAGTATATATTTGATTTATTTGAATATTTCATATTACTGCAAGTGGTAACAATCCTAGTAGAAACACTAATTGCAGAATTGTAGTTTGGAAATCTATGTTACATTAATTCCCAGCTCTGAACATATATTAGATCATATGCTTTTTAGTTTGTGATTTATCATGAGCACAAGATTAATTCCTACATTTTATTTTTTTCACTGATATCCAAGCTCCCTTCTGTGATAAGTCATTTACATATCTTCATGGTATCTTCATCTTCCTTTCTTTCCTCTCCTCATAACAGCCTACCTGATCTGTGTTCATTGGTCACCACAGTGAGCTTGAGGATCTTAGACTTGTTTTATGTAACCCATTCTCTCTCACAGGGCCCTTCAGAACCACTGCCATTTTCTTACATCTTTGCTTTAACTCAGCCCAGATTCCACCTAAAGTATTGTTGTATTGTTGTAATAGTTAGATACATCTGGATCTGAACTCTGCCTTGACTTTTTACTAGTTCTATGATCTTGAGCAAGTTAATATTTTTAATTTCAATTACTCTATTTCTTTAACTATAAAAGACAACTCTCCAGCATTATTGTGAGACTTTGAAACTGAAGCACTTAGCACTGTCCTTGGCACATGGTACTCAATGACCACTGGGTAGTCACAGACAAGTTAGATGTATTTTTAAAATTCAGAATTTTGTGTTTTAAAGGGTATCACATTCCTTATATAAGTTCTCTAGTAGGATGTAAGGCAGCATTCTTAAACAAATTGCTATTTCTGTAGGGAAATAATTCTGTTTGAATTTTTATATAAAAGTATTAGCCTCTCATCATTACCCATCCATTAATTCAAGTCAGAGATTGCCACCAAGCTATAAAAATACTCATTTTTCTTAACTGTTGAATTTTGGAATTGTGAATAAGGGGTTGGGATTCTGGAAAATTAAAGGAGATTCTGCATTTTCTTATTTTGAACTCTACTCTTCTCTCATTTTTACTATGTGGGTGTTTTCTAGAATTTATAAACATGAGCCACAGATACTGTTTCTTATTTTTGTTACCATAACTCACTCCCCTCCCCAAGTGCCCCTTCCTGGGGATATCACTCTAGGTATCTTCTGAGATTAGCACTCCAGATCGCTTCTGAGAATTAAAGGAATGAAATAGAAGGAAATGGAATGCTTTCAATATCAGTTTCCTCTTTGGATATGGAATATTTAAGTCACATTGAGAATTATATTTTTCTTTTCTGCAAAATTTGTTAGAGTGTGAAGCATAATATCAGGAGAGAAAAATACATAAAAAATTTTAGTGTACATTCTGCCTTTGTAGTAAAAGCTGTGACCTCTTAAATATTTTAACTCACAAGATATTTAAGAAAGATTTATAGTAAGATATACTAGCAGTTTAAGACTATATTAAATTGTTTTATTTGAATACTTACAGGTTTTTAGAGAAATGTATATTGTCATATTGACTAGTTGACATTGCTCTTTACTTCCACTAATGACTATCTATATACATTTTTATTCCATTGCTTTCTATTTTATATTGATTAGGGGGACTTGCTATGAGACTAAAAGTTGCAATTTAATCGTACCTGGTAAAACATAATTATTATTCAGAATTGATTCTAGTATTTATTTTTTGTAGTGTCCTACGGAAACCAAAGCAACATTCGGGGTCCATCTTAAAATAGTAGGAGACTGGACAGGTATGTAGAATATATTGTTTTAAGATACATGCTTTGAAAATAATGAATCATACAATAATTTGTTTCTAAGTAGTAGAATTGCCAGCATGCATGGAAATGTATATATGTTCTTACGCTGTTGTTTGTTTTCTTACACAGTTTTGATATTAAGGTTTTCTTCTTATAGGATGCATTTTAGAATTAGGATATATAATATATTGATATTAGTAATTTTTATTTTCAAATCTTCACAGCAGCTTTATTTGTAATAGCCAAAACCTGGAAACAACACAAACATTTACTAACAGCTGAATGGATAAAAAAATAGTTGTGCTATACTCATATAATGGAATAATACCTAACAATAGTAATAAGCAAACTATAGATATACATGTAACAAAATGGATTAATCTCAAAATAATCATGGTTAATGAAAAAAGCCAGAGTTCCCTTGCCTTAGAAAGTATATTGCATAACATTCTAGAAGATGAAGTACATTTTAATAATGTATTATTCACTGTTTGCAAATCACAGGTTTCCGCCTACTTGTCAGATGTACTGGCAATAATGGGAAACTGAACTATTTTTTTCCTTTGTTTTAGACAGCATTATTTTAAAATTGATAGTTGGTTTTACTCTTCAAATAATTAACACTTGGGATTGATATCACACAAATCTTCCAGTCCTTACATAACCTTTCCACCTATTACATTTCTGAAATAGTGGTCATTTTTAATAGCAGGTCTATTGGAGGTAGTATTTTACTCATTTGTTCAATAAATATATATATTTTTTATTTGAGAGGTTATATTAAGAGTTCTATGTAGATAAAAGAAACATTCATCCTTAATATTCATTTGACTGTTTAGATTGATTCCTCAAAGGAAAAGATGCAGGCATAAACATGAATGCAGATGTAAATTAAGATGTTTATAATTGAGTGCTAAACTGGGTTTATGAAAACTATAGGGAATCAGAACATGTAGTCTAGGGCTATAAGAGAAGCTTCACAGAGAAGATACAATTTGAGCTGAACCTGAAAAGTCAGGGAAATGAGGAAAGAAGTAGGTCACTTAAGTGAAATTCACAGAATTGTCAAAAATCAGAGAAGATAATGATTAAACCATATTTAAGAAGGGTAAGTCAATCAGCCTAGCAAAAGCAAAGGTTTTGTTATAGGGAATAATATAGAAAATCTTCTTAGGGTCAGCTTGGTGAAGATCTTGAATGCCTAGAATAACATAGATGCTAGGGAACCTTTAAAGAATTTGGAGCATCATAATGAATACAGTATTAATAACTTGCTAGTAGGATCAGTTAGAATCAAGGGAAGACTATGGTGCTAGAAGCTGGAGGATAGTCAATGGAGAGAGGGGATGGAAACTGGGGAGTAGAAGGAATGGATTTGTAAGCTCAGGTTGAGAAGTTAACATTGAAAAAAAGGAATTAATTTTTGTAAAAATAGGAAAGGACAATATATGTATCCTATATAATAAAAGGCTAGTATGCAAATAGACCAAACAGCAGAATAACTGATTGTTATGATGCACACTGACCACCAGGGGGCAAATGCTCAATGCAGGAGCTGCCCCCTGGTGGTCAGTGCACTCCCACAGGAGAGCACCACTCAGCCAGAAACCAGGCTCATGACTGGTGAGCACAGGGGCGGTGACAGGAGCCTCTCTGCCTTTGCAGCAGTTGAACATTGCCCGAGGGCTCCTGGATTGAGAGAGGGCTCAGGCCAGGCTGAGGGACCCCCCACCCCCCCAGCAAGCGCACAAATTTTGTGCATTAGGCCTCTAATTGTATAATAAAAGATAAATATTTTAGGAGGAACAATTTAAAAGCTTATATCACACAATTTAAAAAAATGATAGTATAAAATTCTTTGTCTATAGAAAGAACAACTGGCTTGGTATTAAAAAGTTGAACAAAATAAAGAACTATGTAACATAGGATATCATGGGAAAACAAATTAATAAAAAGACCTTGGAGCAGTATTGACCTACTTTAAGTCATTAAAAACCAGGCTTGGTTCATGTGATGGCATTCTATGAGCTCACGATAATACTGGGTTAGAAAAACACTGGTATAGTTTGAAAACAGTAATCCTTATGACAACTATTTGCTATAACCACAATTGTTTTTGCACCCTTTGACCAAGAATGAGTGAAGTTCTTTTCTGGTTCAAATATCAATATGGTAAGGATTAATTTCAATAATGAATGGTAATGGATAGAATTCTACATCTGAAGGGAAACAAGCACAATGAAAGTATAATTTAATTCATCAGTGTAAGCAGAAACTTCATGATGGCTTATTGCTAATTATTGCTACTGAGTTTCTTCATATTTTCTACTAGAAGCCCTGTGCATGAAATTTTTGCACTGGAGAAGGGGGTGTCCCTCAGCCCAGCCTGTGCCGTCTTCATTCTGGGACTGTTGGCTCCAAACAGTTCGCTTGACCGTCTTCCTGATTTCCCCTAACCACTTATGCCTGACAGCCTGATCACCCCCTAACCACTCCTCGCTTTCCTGATTGACCTCTGCTGGCGCTATCTCCCCCAGCTATCCTTCCCTGCTGGCCTGGTCATCCCAAACTGCCCTTCCCTGCCCACCCAGTCACCCCCAACTGCCCTCCCCTGCCAGCCCAGTTGTCCCTAACTGCCCTCCCCTGCTAGCCTGGTCACCCTTAACTGCCCTCTCCTGCAGGCCTGGTCCCCCCCAACTGCCTCCCCTGCAGGCCTGGTAGCTCCCAGCTGCCCTCTCTTGCCATCCTTGTTGCCCCTAACTGCCCTCCCCTGTAGTCCTGAACACCCACAACTGCCCTCCACTGCCAGCCACTTGTGGCAGCCATTTTGTGACCACATGGGGCCAGCCATCTTATGTGAGGGCATGATGGTCAATTTGTATATTAACTCTTTATTATATAGGGTTGTCAGTAGCTTATTAAAATAAGTCCTCTCATTTATGTTAACATTTATTAGGAATACTTAATAGTTTAAAGTTTATCCTTTTATTTCATGTCCTATGTCATTGAGGGATAAACAAGATCATTTTATTCAGAGTGTATTTCCAGTCAGTTGCTTTTCAATTATTACAGACCTTCTTGGTTGTTGATTTTAAATATTTGTTTATTTGGAAAAAATGTTAAGCATTCATGCAGAGAACCCTTAAGTAATTGTGCCACTATCTGGCCTTAAAGCAATGGTATTATAATTATGGAGGGAAAATGGGAACATTGCTCCTGAGATCAAGGATCACTGGTTTTTATTCTGAGAGAATTTATTAGAACTCAGTTTAAGCACAGTAGTTATAGAAAATACTATGGAGATACCTAATCATTTGAATGTCGAAGTTTTTACTTGAGAATTGTGTTTGTAATAGAGTGTTGAGAACAAAATTTGACTGAAGTAGGATTGAGATATAAAAGTAGTAGAGAAGTGGAGATGGTAAGTATAGATAAATCCAGTGGTATGTGGAGCCAGCTCCTAAGAGCTTATTGGGTCAACGGGGGCTTTTCTTCCAATTCTATGTTCAGTAAAGTTAAGTTTGGGAGCTTTCAATCATTCATAGTGTGATTATTTATCCCACAGAAATAGATCAGTACTATAAAGTATGGTTTTAAAAAATGTAAGACCTGGCTATTAAGTATTTGCTAAAGCACCAATGGACAAATTCTAAGGAATTTGGATGTAAAATTATATTTAAAATAGAGCAGAAAATAGAAGGAAGAAGAGAAATTCTATTTCTTATCACTAAAATTGAGGATGGTGGAGAAGAAGGGAGAAGGTGCCATATACCATTCAAAATAGTGAATTGATACGTGAAACATAGAGGCTCTTAGGAGTTGTGCCAAGAGGTCTATTGGGATACATGGTCCAAAATTTAAAGTGAAACAAGCCAAAATAATTATGAGGTCCCCCCTCCACCCCCCAGCATGATCCACTTCTTCAGATTAGCTATTAAGCAGGTGGATTTACTAATAACCAGCATTGATTAAATTCACTATATTTGTCAACTCCAATCCATTCTCTGCACTGTCGCCATAGGAAATTCAAAGCATGAATCAAATGAAATCACTTCTCTTGCTTCAAATACTTTAGCAGCTTCCCATTTCTCCTAGCATAAAGATAAAAAATTCTTCTGATAGCCTGGAAGGGCCTCCCTCCTCTGGCTCTGTCCAACTTCTCACCTTGACTCAATTTGTTTTCTTGTTTACACAACAGCAACACTTTTGTTTCGCCTGCTTCCTCTCACCCTATTTTTATCCTTATCCATATGTTCTTACTCTCCACCACCCCTGCCCACCCTACCCACACATGTACCTAGTATATTTAAATCACATCTCAGAAGTAACTTTGTCTGAGAAGCCTCAATTTTTGGTGTTCTTATAAATGTTCCCACCACTGTATATCTTTCCTTAAGAACACTTATCTCCATTGGTAACTATACATTGAAAGTGTGAACATTGGTGTAACACATTCTCTCCATAGGCTATAAGCATTATCATTGTAGAGCACATGTGTCAAACACAAGGCCCATGGGCCAAATCCGTCCCGCCAGGCCTTGCAATGTGGCCCGCACCGCACTGTCATCACTGCACTCCACTGCGTTTCCATCACAATGACAGTTTATGACTGTTCAGTAAACCATTCGGCCCGCGATTTAGGCTGGATTTTAGATTTTGGCCCCTTCTCTGATTGAGTTCGACACCCCTATTGTAGAGACTTGTATCTCTTTTTGCATACCAGTGTACTCAAGGGCCAATTAAAAGGATTGTTCATGATAAATGTAAATATTTATGAAGGAAAGGAAAAAGTGGAAGAGGAAGGGAGGACAGAGAAAGGGGGAGGAAAGGTAGAGGGAGGGAGGGAAGGAGAGAGGGAGAAAGAGAGGGAGGGAGGGAGGGAGGGAGAGAGAGAGAGAGAGAGAGAGAGAGAGAGAGAGAGAGAGAGAGAGAGAGAGAGAGAGAATATCCTCTCCTTCATGAAAACTCACAAGCTAGTGGGTCAGTGGTCA